GAATCGAGGAAATACGTTGATAACACTGTATTGCAGAAATTAACACCATAGCCACACTTTTTGTGGCCTAAAATATTAAGGGAAGATTTATTACTTTCTAGACAAATTAGAAAATTGTAAAATAAATTAATAGGACTTTTTGTATAATTTTTACATGCAAAATATTGTATAGACAGAAGACCTGTAAAAAGCATTCTAAATACAGAATACCTTTAAAGGGTACTCCAAGACGTCTTCCATAGACAAAAGAACTTTCAAAGGTCGTATATACCCAGAAAATCTCAAAAAGGTATTCTATAGACCTAATATTTTTAGTCATCTAAAGCAAGAAAACATTTATTTTTTAACAGAAAATTTCGAAAGCTTTTCTATAGAATGAAAATCATTAAAAGATCTTCTAGAGAGGAAGTTTTTCGAAAGGTTCCCTATATGGAGTAGCCTGTTCAAATGTATTGTATAGACCTTGTAAATGAATTAGATTAGTGATTAGGGCATTATTTATGGACCGACAATAATTCTTAGACAAATTATTTCAGAAGACTTTTAACTTGTATTCAAAAACAGAAGTCTTTTAATGTTTTAAAACATTGTCTGCAGAAAGAAAACTTCTATCGACATAAGACATTTAAAAGAATATCATTCAATGATATTCCTCTGACAAAAGACCTTGAAAATGTCTTCTGCTGGCAGAGTACCCTCATAAAGGTTCTATATAGACAAAGGGTTTTCCATATATAGAAAGCCCTTTATTTATATAGACACTGTAAATAAAATAGAGAACTGACATTTGTGGACCGAAAATAATTCGAAGAAAAGTTAATATCCCATAATTACAGAAAAAATTTAAGTTATCGAAAAATTTTTATATTTTGTTATAAATAATTGATTTATCAAACACACTTATTGTTTGAATAATTGTCCTGTAATAAGTGAATAATTATATTACAATCTGCAAAATATTTATAATCGGAAAGGCATTTATATGGGTCTCTATTGCCAATTTTCTATTATACGGTGCCAAATTAAATCTTTAAAATACTAAACATGAGGCTTTTCGGTATCCTTTATGGGTTGGGAAACATTTACTGCTTTGAAAACCCGAAATACCATATCTTGGAAAAATCTTCTAGGATTTTCAAAACAGTCAAAATTTAGCTCTGAATTTTAATCAGAAATCTGAAGTGTCAAACAATAACAATTAAAAAAAATAATGAATGTTCAGTTTTTTTTTTATCATTTATGTTTGTTTTTAAGAGACGATTTGTTTTTATTTTTTCGTTATTAATTCTTTATAGATCTTATGATATATTTTCTATAAATTTGTTTTTTGTTTTATATGTATATATACTTTATCTTTTCTTCCTTGTCTTAAGTGCATTTTATACAATGTATAATTTATTTATTACTTAGAAACTAAGAGAAAAAATTAAGAGTAGTAAATAAAAGCATAAACTTGGGGAGGAGAGAGAAATTGCGGGGGTAAAATAGGGAAAATGCCGTTTTACAGAATACCTTATAATTATTTTCAGAAATTGAAATTATTTCAAAAATGTAAATGGTTTAAAAAGTATGGTATGTTTACACAGTTTCGATGAGAACGCCACCTGTCCAAAAAATCTGGTCAATAGCTATATGATGCAAAGTACTACGTAAGACATGTAATCGTTGCAGCATTGTCTGTGGTAAGGTCCTTATGATGATAATTATTTCCATAAACTTTAAAAAGATTTTGCCTCACATCCTTTTTTGTAGACGGCATTAGTCAATTGTTGACATATATATCATGGTTGTGGAATTTTAAAATTTAGATAATTTCAATTGAAAGTTGAAATTACGTTGGTCCTTCTACATATTCAATGATCACAGGCTACAGTATTTTTAGTCAGCCATACATAACAAAAGATACGTATCATGGATATTATCCATATTATACGCAACATCGCTTTGGACATTACCTGGCCGCAGACTTTTTGAACCTGGATCAGATCTGCTACAAAAACGTATTATGGATTATATTTGTAAATTTTCTTTTCTTTATTTTTTCGGATTTTAAATTTAATAAATTACGTGATTATCTATGCGTCCTGATAAATCTTTTTGCATACTCATATTGTTTTTTAGAATTGATTTTTTCCTCTACTGATTTTTTTTTAAATTTTGAGTTATGTTACTTTTGATAAACAGGTGCGATTTTTCATACATCCATAATCATAAATATCCCTTTTACATCTTTTGATGGTTTAGATAAACTAGGCATTCTGTAAAAAAAATAATTCATATAGTCGAGGATATAATTAAAATAAAGCTTTTTTTTGAGAAATTTAACTAAAAGATAGATCTTTGCATTGTCTTTAAAACATAAAAAAAAGAATAAATTTTTCATAGCAACAAAAGCGATAACTTGATTAGGAGTGAGTACAATTTGTTGATAAAATCTACAGGGACTTAAACATTGCCTCCAAAACGAAATATCGTGTCACAAGTGTCATACGTTCAGTTAAAATTTATATAGAAACATAATAGAGCAACAAATGGAGTTGACGATAGTCTCCTTGGGTCGATTAGTTTGATTTCAATATTATGCGTAATATTTGAAAAGTTTAGCAGATCATGAGTATATGGATTGTAAGAAAATTAATTAATTTTGTGTACCCTACACAACTATGTTGTCAGGGTATTATATAGCTTTCTATGTTTAGAAGACATTTGAATTTTATGATATCTCGATCAATCAATGGGAAATGACAATAATATTTGTAGTTATTTTTTTTTTAACTTTCTGTGACCCCAAGAGTTTGGAATGCCGCGAAATATTGGTTTTAGACCTAACTTTAAGTATACCGGTCGCCACATCTCGATTAGCCGAGTCGATTTGTAAACACGAGACAGGCCAAAGTTATGGACCAATCATCACGAAATATTGCATGTGGGATGGATTCTGGCCAAAGAAGGCCACTGTTGTCTTTTAATATTAACGGGATGAAATGGATCAAAAACGTTATTTTTGTCTGTTTTTGTGGTCGCTCTGACCCGATCATTACGAAATTTTGCACAGAAAAAAAGGTCTGACCACAACATAAATATGACTGTTTTGATGCAGAACGGCCAATATTTAGCGGGTCAATTGGACACATACTTTTGTATGAAAAATGACAATATGTGTATTGTGGGGCGTATATATTAACTCCTGAAAGACATAGACCCCGAAATTTTGATACTATGTACTCGGATGTGGGAGTTATGCGTATATATTTAAAGGTGTCTATGAGTTATGATATTTTTTTAGAAAGCGCAGATGTCGCGCTGATCGATGCAAAATTTTACATGAAGTTCCGGTTATGCTCAAGGACGACGCCTATGTTGAAATGATAGGCGGCGATGTTGAGATAAAAGGTGGTGTGCAATGAACCGAAAACGTTATTTTTGTCAGATTTTCTAGTCGCTTTAGAGGCCATTATTATTTGCAGAACATCACATATTTTACACGGTGAAGGGGATCTGACCAAATACTTAGAACGGCTATTTAGATTTTATTTGGAAAACTTAAAATGACCAAATTTGTTATTTTATGGCGTAAATATTCATTTCGGGATTAATCTGTCAATAGAGTGCAAATATCGCGAAATATTGCCCAGACTCAGAATATAGAACCGCAGATATTAAGATTTTCGTGAGAGTTGTGTAGAGTATCATATGGTCGGCCCAGCCCGACTTTACTGATCCGTTCACTGATTTTAATATTAGAATAATCTGGCAAGTGAACAAAATATTAAAATGATTAGAAACATGATTCTCAATTCCCATTGATTACATTGGTCATAAAATTTAAGCGAATTCCAAATGTAGAAAAAATAACTCGCAGAATTTATTGTGAACGTAAAAAATACTGAAATTTGAATTTGAAATTTGTAGGTATGATAAGTGAAGGTTTTCAATTCCCTCAGCTCAGCTCAACTCACCTACAAACTATAAATCACGACCAAGTGAGACTATTTCTAATATAAAAATTACAGTGTAATATTTATTTATATTGCTTCGATATTTAGACCTTTGTAGAAAGCATTTTAATAAAGCATTTCGAAATAAAAAAGTAACTCCAAATATGATTCACAATTCACATTGATTGAACGAGCGATTACAAAATTCAAATGACTTCTAAACATAATACCAACATTTATTTTTATTTTATTTTTAACATAAAAAATTCAGAAATTTCCAAATAGTGTAGGCATGAGAAGTGAAGGTTTCCATTCTCCTTAGCTCAACTCACCTACACATTATAGAAATGAGGCAATTAAAATTGCCCACTGTAAATCGCGACCAAGTGAGGTTTATTTCCAATCTAAAAATTACAATGTAATATTTACTTATATTGTTTCGATATTTAGTCCCTTGTAGATTTTCAAGTTAATAAAGTATTTCGAAATTAAAAAAAAAAACAAATAATTTCAAATACTTCATCGATGATGTTCCAGAAATAATTTTGAAATAAAAATTCCGAATGTTTTTTTTTGTATATAATGATTTTTTATACTTTTTTAATATATTTATTTGTTTTTTGTTGTTGTTTTTGTTTGTTTGTTTTTTTCCTAAAAATTTGTTATAACACCTAAACACATCTCTTTAATCGTTCAGTTTTTAGTATTTTTGTCTAACCGAAACATAGCATAGCGCAATCAATACAAGAAAATATAAGAAGAAGCAGGTTGTTTGGTTTTTTGTTGGGAGCATATAACGTGCTGGGGGAGGGAGAATTATTTGGACTTAAAATTATATAGCTACAATTGACAATAAATATAAAACTATTTAAAAAAAAGGTGAAAAAGAAAGACTGAAAAAATATTAAAGCAAAACTAATTGCAAAGAATTGTGCTTGTAGGACAGAAAAAAAAGAAACAGGACAATAGCAGGGACTAGGTGGGATAGTAGAAAAAGTAGGGGTAGAGTAAAAAAAAGAAACATAAAAATATTTAATTTAAATTGCTACTTTTTGTGTTGGTTTTTGTTTTAATTAATTAAATTTTTAAAACTTAAAAAATAAATTATGTTTATTTGTTTTTGTTTTTTGTTGTGGGCTTCCATTATGATCATGACATCAGTTGTTGTTGTTGTAGTTTTATAAAGATTGTTCCTGTGGTCCTTGTGTTGAAGGTGGTTGTTATTAATAATATAATTAATATTATTATTGTTGTATTTGTTTTTGTTTGCTTAATGTTGTTGACGACGGCAACGACGACGAATACGACGATGATGCTTCGCATAACGACAACATCGTTAACGAAGCACATGATAAAGGCGACGGCGACGATATGAGTTTCTATAAAATGGACAACGGCAGCTTTTACTTGATTACCAGAATCATTTTGTTGTAATTCTCCTATTATATGTGTTTGTTGTTGTTGTTCTTGTTTTATTAGTTGTTTTTGTAAAATGTACTCCCTGCTATTCTGGTGGTTGTTGTTATTGTTGGTATTATTATTCTTGTTGTTGATATTGTTGCTGTAGTTGTTTTTGTTGTTCTTGCTACTACTATTACTAAAGGCTGTTAACGTTGTCTTCCCATATAAGTTTTATTGCTACCGCCGACTAATCAAACCATTTGGTGGCAACTGTTGACTTGCCGTATGCATCAGTTCCAATTCCACCAACAGTGGAAAATGATCGGAGGGTATATGCGGATGCGGACAGCCAACAACTTTATTTTCGCGCAGCCAATCATTCGATATGGGCCCCAGTAGACCCAACGGTACCATGCCTGTCTTTGTGTAGAAAATATAATCGATAATGCCCTTAAAATCAAAGGTGTAATTTGTATACGGCATTATGTCCTCACTGTAGGCCGAGGCCAACTTAAAGGAATGCGTAAATTCTGAGGTGTCATTCGAGAGCAGACGTTGCAGACATGACTTGTAACCCATGTCTTTGAAATCGCTGTGATCCATATTGACACGGCCCTTACTCAAAAATTCCACAACACCGGAATCGGGCAGCGAATTGAAATCGCCACACAACAATAGCTGTACACTGTTCAAATCATTTTTATGGCCAGGTCGGAAACTGTGACTGGCCTCGTCAATAATCGTTTTCAATTCATTGCTCAACATCATCGTTTGAATCAGTTTGACATCACAGAACTCGGGATCCCAGTGAATGTGGGCCGTGCACACCAACAGTGCTTGCGAGGTCTGGGTTACATCCAATTCGGGATCCCAGGCATTATCCTTGACCTTCAACAATGCGGCCAGACCAATATTGTCTTTAGGCATAACACGATTCAACATGTTGTCCGAACCTTCAGCATTAGCCATGGCCAATTGATTGAATTCAATTAAATGCTCTTTGATGAGAGAGAATCTGAGAAGAAAATAGAGAAAAACAAAAATAAATTATTAAATTGAAATTTTTAATGTGTGATTTTTTGTAGCATACTTTAAGGTCCTAAAAAATATAGCGCAACCATCCACATATTTACGTTCCACTTCGGACATTGTCTTGGCTCTGGACTTTGGCGAGAAGATGCCCTCATAACCATCATTCTTCAGCTCGGGCAGGAAAAAGTTATAGAACTGTTCCGTTTCGATTTCCTGCAAACTAATAATATCTGCCGAATAATGACGTATCTCATCGAGTATGGCCTTTTTGCGATATTCCCAATTCAAAGCCCACGATGGACAATAGCCGTACATTTGACGTGTGGCATATTTGTCACACAGCACATTGTAACACATGACTGTGAAGAGACCTGCAAGCAAAAAATTAAATGAAATGATTATTTAGAATAATTGTATTCGGATGTGGATTGAAAAAGTAATAAGTAGCGGAAATGTTAGAGTAAAAATTGCAAAACTTAGATCATCAAGCTCGACTCGAAAGAGTATAAATAACCACTTAAAATTACTTTCAAATGATCAATGCCCTTACAAGGCAAAATTCAAATAACAAAAAGTAAAAATAAACCAGTGAGCGGAGCAGTATAGTCGGACGGGGCCGACCATACGATACCCTACACAACTACCACGGAACTCAAATTTTCTGCGGATGTTTATTCCGAGACTGGGCAATATTTCGTTATATTTGCACCCTCTTGCCCGATTAGAGGTAAACAGCACCTCTTCCTCACACTGTATTCAGTATTCAGTACAGCTATTATCCAGATTCCCTTCACCGTGGGTTGTGTTGTGATGTTCGGCTTTCATTTGAGGTCTATTGATCGACTCGAAAATAACACAAAAAATTAAGTTTTCGGTCCACTTCATTCCAAAATTATTATCTGATCATCACCGAAAATTATAGGCGTTGTCCTTGACCATAACTGGAACCTCATGGAACATTTCAAAGCGATCAGCGCTATAGCTCCGCTCTCTAGAGACATAATGGGTTACTAAATAATATAGGAATACGGAGATACCTGTAAATATTTAGATGAAACTCCCACATCCGAGCACATACAACAATATAATTGGTCTTAATTTAAAGGTCAACCACTCCTCTTGGATATAATATCAACTTCTCGGGTATATGTCCTTCAGGGGTAAATATATACGCCATAGAATACAAATTTTGTCATTTTTCACACAAAAGTCAGGGTCCATTTGACCCGCTAAATATTGACCGATCTTTCTCCAAACAGGCATGCTTTTTCTTTGGCCCGATCCGCTTCTCCATGCAAAATTTCACGATGTTCGGACCATTGTTGCGGCCTCTGGAGCGATCAGAAAAACCGACAAAAATTTAGTATTTGGTCCATTTCATCCCCTAAATATTAACCGATCTTTCCCGAAAACAATAGGGGTCTTCATTGGCCAGAACCCATCCTACATGCAAAATTTCGTGAAGATTGGTCCATAACTGTGGCCTGTACCGTGTTTACAAATTATAATGGACAGACGGACGGACGGACGGACGGACGGACACACATGTCTAGATCGACTCAGCTAGTCGAGATATGACGATCGGTATACTTAAAGGTGGGTCTAGGACCAATATTTCGCGGCGTTACAAACTTTTGGGGCTGCACAAAGCTATAATACCCTGACAACATAGTTGTGTAGGGTATAAAAAATATTATTCTTAGGATATTTGGTATTGAAAATACCGACTATTTTATTTGTAGCCCTCATATAAGTGTTTTCCCCATTTTCGTCATTTTTGAGATTCAAACCACATTTTCTAACTGAAGTGGTTACCCCATTTTTGGTATTTTCATCTATGAGAATAGTCCAAAAATTCACATAAAAGATTCAATATTGAGCCATGTTTTGGCATATTCCCCATATAAGGGTCACTACAGTCCCTAGTTATTATATGGTCATCGTCGAACTTCCCAATCTGAAGAAAAAACCTTCTGGTAGCAATTTACCATGACGTAGTTATTTTGAGGTGCAATGTGCACATCGGCATACGGCTCGAACGCAGGAAGAGGAGAAGCTGATAGAGAACACTATAAGCTACCCCAAGGCGGGTATGGGTAATACATAGCTTTCAATCATTCAAATCCCCGGGTTCAGATGGCATAATACCGGCCATGCTGCAGCATTCAGATGAACCAGTATTGATCACTCTGCAGGGGATTTTTCTTAATTGTCATTGAAGGAGCCTTCAACAATGTAAAACTGAAAGCTTTCCATTCCGCTTTCGATAGTTCAGGTAACCTTCCTAACGTATTGGATTGATAGAATGCTGGAAAACAGAATTATCAGTTCGTCTATTGCAGAGAATTCCATTAAGCACCGCACATGGAGGACTACTGTCTTCCTACTATGGCTTTTGGTGATAAATGAGATACTTCTGAAGTTCGATAACCTTACAATAAAGGTTGTAGCATATGTCGATGATTTAGACCTGCTAATTAGTTGGAAATTTTTTTCACACGCCAATGTACTTGGCGTAAACCCCACGAAGACAGCAATGATACTCTTCACTAGGAAACGTAAGATTCCAACATTCCGACTGCCATCCTTGGGTGAAGTTACATTAGCCCTTTCCTTAAAAGCAAAATACCTTGGTACAGTCCTTGACCACAAACTAACGTGGAAAGGAATGTTGAGGAACGCACTAAGAGTTGGGGACCGGAGATCATACACTGGCTGTATGTAACAGTTGTACTCCCCATTTTTAAATATGGCTGCGTTGTATGGTGGCAAGGGGTCAATATGCAGACACTGCTAGCCAAAATGAATACTGTGCAGCGATCGGCGCCGGTCCTGATTACTGGAGCGCTAAGAAGCACACCACAGGTAGACTTGAGTTCTGGATAAATTCCAGGCTGCAAGATGTGCCCTGAGGCTATGGGAAACGGATGTCGCCGAACTTTGGCCACGGTAGTGGAAGTGATGCAAATGTGGTATAGGTTGGTAATGTGGTATAGTCACTTTTTTTGTAAACTGAAAATTTTAGAATAACTAAAACATGTTCTATAGTTTGCTGTTCTCAAAAAAATAAGATAGCAATGAAATGTTTAATTAATTTAAATCACGTTGAGAATCAGTACCAAAAATAAAATTTTTCATGAAATTGACTTTTTTCGGTTGAAGTTTAAAAATAATTTTTTGTTTTACGGATGTACTTTAATCGTTATTACTAAAGCATTAAAATAATCAGTATGAACTAAAAATCAAATAATATGCGCGATTGCACCACATAATCACCAATTTGGAAAAAAAACTAGACATTTCTTCAGTAAACACAAGTGTAGGTAATGTGGTATACCTTGATTCTGCATGAAAAAAGGCCAGCACTAGACAAAATCTCATTACTATGTGAAACATTTGTACTCTACGAGAGTCTACAATGAATCACAAGGATGAAAAACAAAGGCTATGAGTTTTAACAACTTCTCCATACAAAAATTAAATATTGACATGTGTAGACATTATTATATAATAAAAATGTAAGTTCCACTCAACGTATCCGTTAAAAATATTAACAGACATAAATCTCGAGCTAATTCGCATTCATTAAAAACAATAAATTCTATAAGATATCAATTGGAAGTGAAAATTATGCTATACCACATTAACATCATGTGGTATACCACATTACCTGCACTTTTTTTACAATCGCTTTTTATGGAAATTCTAATATTTTCTCAAATATCTCTTAAATTGTTAGAATAATATTATTTTCAAATTGATACATGGAAAGACAAAACATGTAGCATGTAAAGTGCAAAATTTCAATTTAATCGGATAAAAAATAAAAATTTGGCAATCTAAAAACAAATGGGTATACCACATTTGCATCACCTCCTATACTATCCTAAACATAACATCAGTTTGTGACCTTCTAGAGAGGAGTACTCACACATCTGTGCGTATACCCCTACTCATAATGACTTTAACGACATTAGAGTAGAGTTTCCTAGTAGGGAATCCTGGGCAAGTGACTCCATACCTCCGGTCGGTCTGTCGATATTTACAGACGGGTCGAGGATGGAGGAAGGTACTGATGCAAGTATTTACTGCAAGGAACTAGCCATCTACAATTCATATAAACTTAACGATCTTTGTAGATCTTTTTCAGCATAAATCCTGGAAATCACGGCTGAGACAGTCAGGCATTTAAGGCATTTAAGTCTTGTACTATCAACTCAAAAGCGGTTCGTGAGTGCAAGGTGATCTTCGTGATATACGATAAATAGTTAAATTCTGTTGGGTTCCTGGACACAGTAACATAGAAGGGAATGAGAGGGTTCTCAGTCGTCCAATCTACCGATTGAGTGATCTGTACAACCTACTTTATTGGCAAAATCCGCATGAGCTACTGCGAGGTAGTCGGCAACAGATGTCAACAAAACCTGGATCCAGATTTCAAAAATCATCTGGCCAGAATTCTCTCGCTGTAGAATTTCTTCGCTGTAAGTGAAAAAAAAACATCATTGTGGGGACCATAACAGACCACTGCATCATTAAATTTCTCACTTCCAAATGGGACATTAACAGCGTAAATTATTGTCGTCTATGTGAGGAGTCCATTGCTACTTAGCAGAAGACACCGCCAGTGTGGTAAATATGAAAATGATAATCTATCATTTTTCTCCGGAATAGATCCCATACAGATACTCAGCTTTGCTAAAACGTTGACATTGCTTAAATAAAAAAAATAGTTCCTATACTGTTTTAGACGTCGTCTATCTCTCCCCCCTATTTTCGAATTTTCTTTACAGATATCCAGATGGCTGAATGTCTCTGAGTGAACGGCAGTAAAATACAGCCTTACATCCCTTAACCTAACCTAAAGTTGGAGTTGTAAGGACGAAACCTAATGCAGTACACATGTTTGCATTCCAGCAGGATTGAAGTGCACTGGCACCGCATAGTTTGGTCCACATCGATTCCTTTTTTGCTCCACAGGTGTTGCTGTCTACATACATGGAAACAGTCTTTATAATTTTGAGCATATCGCTAATAACTGTGGAATTATTTATATAGGAATTGTAATATTACATTTAGAGCCTTCTGAAATTAATAGTCGGAATTGTGAATCCGCGACCTGCACATTCAGAAGTAGGCACATATCCCTTGTCAGAAAAGAATATAAATCTAGTGCACATAACAAACATATTTATTTTTTTTGGTTTAATAAATTTCTGAAAAACTTTTTACCTTAAAAATTGGTATATGAAAATGATTTTGGCGTTCTCTAAAAGACTCTATACGCCATTGAATACAGTTTTTGTAATTTTTCACCCGCTAAATATTGACCGATCTTCATCAAAACTGTCATGCTTATTCTATGGCCTTCGGTCTGTGTAAAATTTCTGGCCATAATTGTGGCCTCTTAAGCGACCAGAAAAACCGAAAAAATTAAGTTTTTGGTCCATTTCATCTCCTAAATATTAGGCCCATAACCGTGGCCAGTATCGTGTTTACAAATTATAATGGACAGAGGAACACTCAATACTAATCTGTTTGGGTCTTATTTAAGAAGTAGACATTCAGGTCCTTTATAAGAATACCTTCGGGTATTTTAAAAAAAGACTATTTGGTCTTTCAATATCATATTCTAAAAAACACTTTCTTCAAATCAAAGAATTTCTGGTCTTCTGTGGAAATATGCTTCTTTCGGGTTCACATAAGAAGTCCTTTTGAGTCTTCTAAAGAAGAAATTTTTGGGCTTATATAAGAGAGACATTTCCTCTTCTCTAGGAAACATTAAAATTTCATTTTAAAAGATTTTCTTCCTATTTGAGAATCACCTTCTACTATCCTACAAATCCTATCCTACAAATAAACAATAACCTTGTTGTCTTCTATAAGAAGACCATTCTGTACAGCTATAAATCCCTTTGGTGTTCTATTTGAAAACTCTTCTGGTCTTTTATAAAGAAGATCCTATTATTTTTTTTCGTTAAGAAGGCGCTTTAAACCCTTAATAATAAAGAAGTTCATTTTATTTTTAAAATAACATATTCTTGTTTTGTTTAATACATTTTTGTATTTTTATACCCTACACAACTATGTTGTCAGGGTATTATAGCTTTGTGCAGCTCCAAGAGTTATTGATCCTAGACCCACCTTTAAGTATACCGATCGTCATATCTCGACTAGCTGAATCGATCTAGGCATGTGTGTCCGTCCGTCCGTCTGTCCATTATAATTTGTAAACACGATACAGGCCACAGTTATGGACCAATCTTCACGAAATGTAGGATGGGTTCTGCCCAATGAAGACCCCTATTGTTTTTGGTCAAGATCGGTTACTATTTAGGGGATGAAATGGACCAAAAACTTTATTTTTGTCTGATTTTCAATTAGACAATTATGGCCCAAACATCGCGAAATTTTACATGGAGAAGGGGATTGGGCCAAAGAATAAGCATGCCTATTTTGACAAAGATCGGCCAATATTTAGCGGGTCAAATAAACCCTGACTTTTGTGTGAAAAATTAAAAAAAATTGTATTCTATATCGTATATATTTACTCTTGAAGGACATAGACCCGAGAAGTTGACAATATATACAAGAGGAGTGGTCGACCTTTAAATTGATACCAATTTTATTGTCGTATGTAATCGGGTGTGGGAGTTACACTTAAGTATTTACAGGTGTTTACGTATTCAGATATTTTTTAGTAACCCATTACCACACTAGAGGGCGGTAATATATTTTGAAATTTTTCATTAGGATCCAGGTGTGGTCAAGGACAACGCCTGTAATTTTCGGTGATGATCAGATAATAATTTTGGGATGAACTGGTCCGAAAACATTTGCAAGAGGGTTTAAATATCGCGAAATATTTCCTATGCTCAGAATATACAAGAACAGGAAGTTCATTTTTCGTGGAAGTTGTGTAGGGTATCATATGGTTGGCCCCGTCCGACTATACTTCTCCGCTCACTGATTTTTTTATCAAAATTTTCCATTAAGGGGACCCCCCCATTCTCGGGGTCAAAATTTTTGTTGATATAATTCGAATCTACACTGATTAAAGAATGTCTCTACAAAATTTCAAGTGAAAATCTCAAGAACTGTTGAAGATATGTCCGATTTAGTGTGTCAGCATCAAGTGACGGCTAAAGGGTTTCTAAAACTTTAAACGCGTTTTTCTCTAAACATTTTTTTGCGAATGGCGGGCACGATAACTCAAAAACTAATAATCCAATCGGTTCCAAATTTTGCATCGTTTCTCTGGGAGTGTATAGCTCTCGTATGAACTAGGATAAAGCCAATCGGTGAAGATCTTCCTTATTTTTTAATTTGGTTTTTGGTCAAAAATCTGCGATTTTCCAAAAATATTTTTTCAAAGGTCCACCATTTTGTTAATTTTAGAGCGAAGTCAATAATCCTAGTTCATACGAGAGCCAGACATGTACTCTTTCTAACACCGTTGGAATTTTCGGATTCCGATGTTCCAGTGAGGAGTTATCATGCCCGCCATCAAAAATAAGGACTTTTCTTGAATTACAAAAAACAACAACAAAACAATAACAAAAATTTTTTGAAAATTATTTTTCTTCTTTTTTAAATCTTCAATTATATATGTGCAAAGTTACAAACCTTAACAAGCATTGGTATTGATTTACCAGCCCATTGAAAATCTTAAAAAATTCAAATCGAGAATGGGGGGGGGGGGGGGGGTTCCCTTAATCAATTTTAATTACAAGTTTAATTCTTATCGTATTACAAGATGATAAATACTACTTACATGCTGGTCTGGACTTGTTGGGTTTCGCCAAAGGTATCCATGGCCTCTGAGGTGGTGGTGTTACAGAAACTAGAAAATAATAAAGAGAGAACAAATTGAATTAATATTTATAGACAAAACAATAAATCTCGTTTTTTACTAAGAATTTATTTTTGCATTTAACACGCTAAAGTATTTTGGAAACGAAAAAGAAGCAAACCATTTTTTAAAGATAAGCATCTTTAGACACAATTCTTAATAAACCACTTAAAACGAATATACGTACTCGTATTTTTACGACAAATTCGAAATGTGTTCATTAATCATGGTGAGGAGTATGGAGATTGTCTACGACGTTGAGATGATTTAAAAAAGTTAAACAATTTTTGCTACCGATTCTTGGCTATTTTTGAAAACAAAAACAAAACTAGTTTTTAATTTTAAAAACGTGTTTGAGTGAGTATTGCCATTAATTTAAGGAGTCGACAAAATTGGTTTAATTTTGATGATTGTGTAGATAATTAGCTGCTTTGTTTGTTTTGGTTTTAAATTTTATTCGTTCAAAAAAAAAAAAAAAAATTAATTTTAAAGGGGCATGTGGGGAGAATGCCCTCAGGGGATTATACTGAGACATCAAATCAAACAATATTTTCGAAGATTTTTTGAATATTTAAGTAACAAATTTTCAAAATACCATCCCCTAGCGTCTACTAATAATACACCCATCTCTCCAAAACCCAAAAGTTCCTTAACATCGATACAATCTGCCAAATCTGCAATTATCGTCACTGCATTTCTAATGCACTGCCTATTGTTGTTTGTGTGTGCATTTTTTTCAAATAGTGAAAGTAACCGACAACTAACTTCCGTGTGACAAAAAGTTTGAAAATCATAGCCTTAGTACCGCAAAATAAAACAAAAGAAAACAATAAAGCAAAATAATGTAAGAGCAATAATTAATAACTGGCACTGCAGCAGCAGTTAACATTTAAATGCGACCGACAAAGGCAGGAACATCCAAGCGGGCACCCTGTTGTTGCGATTTTCAAATATGCAAAATAAACAAAACATCGTATTCAGTATTTACAATAATTCCCTTACACCTCCTCCTCTGTGAGGCAGATTGTAATGGAACCTGTATTGCAAATTCATAAATAGAGGCTTGTCATTTCGCAGAGCTGTGCATTCGGCGATCGACAATGAACACCGGGCACGATTGGAAAATAAAATAAAAGTTTATTATGGTTTCATGATTTTCAACAATGTTTACACACATCAAATAAAAAAATCACATACACTTAAAAAAAATGTTTTTTTCCAAAGCGTGGATTTTAAAAATATTTTTTTCAGGGATTATAAAAGGCGTGGACTTTTAAAATATTATTTTCAAGGACTACAAAGGGCGTGGACTTTTAACATAATTTTTTTAGGGATTATAAAAGGCGTGGACTTTTAAAATAATTTATTTCAAGGACTACAAAAGGCGTGGACTTTTAAAATAATTTTTTCAAGGACTACAAAAGGCGTGGACTTTGAAAATAATTTTTTCAAGGACTACAAAAGGCGTGGACTTTTAAAATAATTTTTTCAAGGACTACAAAAGGCGTGGACTTTTAAAATAATTTTTTCAATGACAAGGATACCAAGCAACGGCTCTGATTGGCTTTAACATGGCGAAGTCCAGGCTTATCTTGGTCCCTCTTTCATCTCAATTATGGACACTGACCTCCCCGCGGTGTCACCTGGGGTAGTTGAAATAGTGAGCTAATATGTGCCGCGAGTTCACCCATAAGAACTATAAAAAAACGGGTTGAGGCATCGGGTTAATTGCCCACACTCGGAAAACCCAACCTACTATGAAAAAGCAAAGAAAAAGGAAAACAAACCCCCCTAATGTTGACGACCCCCGCAAACGTATAAAGGACAACGATCTGCGAATCTGCACTTGGAATGTGCAGATTCACTCCAATAGATGAGCGACTTGCTATAATCCGTATAGAAGCGAAGTTCTTCTACATTAGTCTCATTTGCGCCCGTGCTACGACCGAAGACAAAGATGAGCAGACCAAAGACATATTTAATGAGCGCCTAGAAACAGCATATGAGCGCTGCCCTGGTCATGACATTAAAATTCTGCTAGGAGACTTTAATGCAAAAATCGGAAGGGAAAATATCTTTGGTCCCACAGTCGGAAAATGCAGCCTTCATGAAGAAACATCCGACAACGGCATGAGACGGAAGGCATTCATCCAGTGTATTAGACGTTCGGTCGATCCGAGGAACGAATATCGATTCAGACCATTACCTTGTGGCAGCCAAGGTTCGCACTCGTTTTAATGTTGCAGCAAAGGTGCGATCTAATGTAACACGGAAATTTGACGTCGAAAAGCTGCAAACACAACAGGTAGCAGAGGCCTACTCCGCTCAACTTACCCAACTGCTTGACGAAAGCACCCTTGACCCGATAGTAATATAGAAGCACAATGGCAGACAATTGCCCACTCCTGACAAACTGCAGCAAAAGCAACACTTGGGTACCAAAGACCACCATGAAGAAAACCGTGGTACGATCAGAAGTGTCGTAATGCTACTGATATGAAAAACGCCGCGTATAGGGCAACCCTGAAACACGCAATGTGATGGAGAATTATCGGGAGATAAGGAGAGAGGAGAAACGTGTTTTCAGTAAAAAAGAAGAAAGAACAAGAAAAACGTGAGCGTGAGCAAATCGAGATGTACAGGAGTCACAATGAAGTCTGAAAATGTTACCAACGAGTAGAACACCAAACCGAAGGCTTTGGCGCAGGCATATCCTTCTGTAGAGATGAAGAAGGAAACCTGGTGACAGATACCGACAGCGTGTTGAGGATCTGGAAGGATCCAGATCAAATCAAATAGGGGCGGTGAAGAAGATTACCCACAACCAATAAGAGATGACGGTATAGAGTAAAAACCACTTAGCCATGATGAGGTCATAAAAGCGAGAACAATGAAGCAGCAGGAGCCGACGGGTTACCAGCCGAACTATTCAAGACTGGTGGTCAGATGCTGGTCAGGAGCATGCACCAGCTGATTAGTACACTTTGGCTAGATGAATGTATGTCCAATAATTGGAACCTCAGAGTCCTGTGTCCCGTGCACAAAAAGGAGACAAGACGATATGTTGCAACTATAGAGGAATTAGCCTTCTTCCTATCGCATATAAAGTGCTATCCAGTGTGCTGTGTGAACTATTGAAGCCAATGTTCAATGACATTTTTGGACCATACCAATGTAGCTTAAGATCTGGCCAATCCACCATTGACCAGTTTTTTCACTCTGTGCCAAATCCTGGAAAAGACCCACGAAAAACAAATCGACACATTCCACCTATTCGTCGACTATAAAGCCGCATTCGACAGCCCAATCCGTCCAGAGGTGTTTAAAGCCATGTCTACGTTCGGCATTCAAAATTAATACGGCTATGCAGGATAACTTTAACTGGCACAAGATCAGCAGTTAAAGTCGGAAAGGACCTTTCGGAGCCCTTTAATACCGAACGAGGATTCAGACAAGGTTATCGTGTGACCTTTCTAACATCCTGCTGGCAAAGGTGAACAGAAATAATACTCTGTACACCAAACAACACCAGTTACTCGCCTACGCCGATGACATCGACATAATGGGTCGAACATTGAGAGCAGTAACAGCCACAGTCTTTGAACAAATTGAGAAGGAGTCTGCCAAATTGGGTCTGGCAGTAAACGGCGAGAAGACCAAGCTGATGGTATAATCGGGCAAGACGTCCAGTAGACTCGGACCAACTGCGGATCTTGAGAACTACAGCTTCAAGGTAGTTAATGATTTTATGGTATCAACGGGAAAGACGTCCAGTAGACTCGGACCAACTGTGGAACTTGAGAACTACAGCTTCGAGGTAGTTAAAGATTTTATGTACCTTGGTATCGCCATAAATAAAACGAATGACATCATGACAAATGAAATTCGAAGAAGGATTGTGATGGCCAACAGATGCTACTATGTTCTGAGTAAGCAACTCACAAGCAAGGTCACCTCACGCCAGACCAAACACACACTCAACAAGACGCTGATACTACCCGTGCTATTATATGGATCTGAAGTATGGGTACCTACGCAAGCAGATGAGGCAGCTCTTGGAGTGTTTGAGAGAAAAATTCTCCGAATGTACCACGAGCTTTACAATTTATACGGGGACATCGACATAGTCAGTCGTATTGAGCTGCAGTGACTACGATGGCTAGGCCATGTTGTGCGAATGAATGAGAATGCCCCAGCTCAAAAGGCATATAAAAGCGAGCCTACTGATGGTTCCCGTAGAAGGGGAAGGCCACGAATCAGATAGAAAGACCAAGTAGAAAACAACATCTTGAAACCTGTTCTTTAAAATTGGAGGAGATGCGCACAAGACCGACACGTTTGGAAGTCTTTTTTAAGCTCGGCTTATGGATCAACCATTCTGTAACAAGCCAGCCAAGTAAGTAATATAAGGCGTTGATTTTTAAAATAATTTTTTTTAGGGACTATAACAGGCGTGGATTTTTGAAATAATTTTTTTTAGGGACTATAACAGGCGTGGATTTTTGAAATAATTTTTTTCAGGGACTATAACAGGCGTGGATTTTTGAAATAATTTTTTCAGGGACTATAACAGGCGTGGATTTTTGAAATAATTTTTTCAGGGACTATAACAGGCGTGGATTTTTGAAATAATTTTTTCAGGGACTATAACAGGCGTGGATTTTTGAAATAATTTTTTCAGGGACTATAACAGGCGTGGATTTTTGAAATAATTTTTTCAGGGACTATAACAGGCGTGGATTTTTGAAATAATTTTTTCAGGGACTATAACAGGCGTGGATTTTTGAAATAATTTTTTTCAAAGGAATATGATTTCTCTCTGTGCATTTAAAATAATACAAAGTAGAGCTGCTATGCGAGAGGTGTTAATAGTTCACATGGATAAACTGCAGTTTTATACATTCGTGTGTGTATGTCGACCGTTTATAAACTTGGAGTACATTTAACAAAATAGATGATCGCAAAAACTTGTAAATAATAAAAAAAACGAAATGTAATTAT